TCATGGTTTGGACTGGTTGTCTTCCAGGTGAGGTTAGAATGCAAGAATGAAGGTGAGCACCCCCAGCATTGCTGCCCTCCCCCATCCCCACCCCCTGTCCTGTTCTCCCTTGGCATCAGATAACATAGCATCCTGTAAGTGAATCCTAAATTTCACTTGCTGAGTGCACAAGTTTCTCACTGGTTATACCGTAGTACCTTCATTAAGATGATGTGCCCTGTCCAGGGACAGGTTATTCTGGGTTTAATGTCCCTCTCTGCTACATCTTGAGCAGAACTCCCAAAGTGTCAGACTTCCATGAGGTTGAGACTTGCCTGTGTTGTGATAGATTCCAGGGTCTTTCCCTGTCCCCATTTCCAGTTCTGATTGGAGGAGATTTGACACAGTACTTGATAAGCTCCAGCAGACTCCAGAGATCTGTTCAGACCGTCTTCCCACTGACTTAGAGGGGAAGCAGGTGCACACCTGATCTTTATACATTCTTAAAGAACAGAGTTACAAAGCTCTCTGGAACTCATTTTTTGGGAGGTGCTGTGAGGTGAGTGCTGGATTGGAACTCTGGGACCTGAGCTTACTAGGTGGGCATGCTACTGCTTAAGCTGTCTCCAGTCCTTTTTGCTCTGGTTCATAATAATGGTTATTATTTGTGCTGGTCCTGAGGCTTGAACTCAGGACCTGGGTGCTGTCCCTGAGATTTTTAAGCTTAAGGCTGGCACTCTTCCACTTGAGTACAGCTCCACTTCTGGCTTTTTGCTAGTTAATTGGAGTTAAGAATCCCATAGGTTTTCCTGTCCAGGCTGCCTGCAAACTGTGATTCTCCAATCTCTTAGCCTCTTGAGCTAGGATTGCAGGCATGAGCCTGGCGCCTGGCTTCACAGGTAATTTTTGAGACTGAGTCTTGCTTTTTTTAATTTTTATCTTTTGTTCTTGGCTCCTGGCCAACACCATGATCCTCATATTTACACTTCCTGCCATGTCTGGGATGGCAGGCAGGTACCACCAATTCTGGCTTTTCTGATAACATGGGGATCTTAGGAACATTTTTTTTTTTTGCCCAGGCTGGCCTGGGAACACAATTTCCCTGACCTCAGCCTCTCAAATAGCTAGGATTACAGGAATGAGCTACAGGCACCCGGTTTGTGAACTCCTAAAAGTACCTCGTTAGCTTTGTTGACAGCGGTTTCCTTTGTAGAACAAGAGCTAATGTAACCAGAGCACATAACTTCTTGGAGCCATCCTAAGCCACAGGCCACGCACCTGTCTTGTGCCAGCCATTTCACAGGTGTAGAATGTTCTGTTTAAAATAGGACTGGGGAAAGTGTACATCCAGATCACATTGCCAATGTGGCTGCAGAGCAGAGCCCCAAGTGCACAGTCCCTAAGGAGGATTCGGACAACTTTATTTATTTTTAGTTTCACAACAGTGTAATATGGGTTTCCCATCCTCATCCTGGCCAACATTTGTTGTTGTTTCTTGATAAAGGCCATTCGAACCAGAGTGAGATGGAATCTCATGTTGTTTTGATTTGTATTTCTTTTACAGCCAGGGATATTGAAGATTTCTTCATGTATTGATTGGTCATTTGTACTACTTCTTCTGAGAAGTGTTTTTTAGCTCCTTTGCAACCACTATGGGAGATAGTATGGACATTCTTCAAAAACTAAACATAGAAGTACTCTGTGATCCAGCCATACCACTCTTGGGCATTTATTTGAAAGATTGCAAGTTAGGATACAGTAAGGACACTTGCACACCCATGTTCATTTTTGCATTATTCATCATAGCCAAGTAATGAAAACTGCCCAGGTAACCAACAATGGATGAATGGATCAAGAAACTGAGATATATGATCTGTATATACGTAAAAAGGCAATTCTATTCATCTGTCAGGAAGAATAAAAGTATGTCACTTGCAGGGAATTAGATGGGCCTGGAAAAGTTTATGTTGAGTGATGTTAAGTCAGGCTCAGAGAGACAAGAGGTACATGCTTTCTTTCATATGTGGACGTTAGACCTAAAATATAAACATATATAAATCACACCAAGGGCCATAAGTGCAAGATCAAGCTGACTAAAGTATATGAAGGGGTGGATTTCCATGGTCCACCCTTTGAACACTTAACAGATAGTTAAACAAAATGAATACTAGGAAGCTAAAATGTGTGAGTGAGGCATGGCTTGAATGGAAGGAGGCAGATGAACCGAAGGAGAAATGGTGGGCAAATATAGTTGTCATACTCAATACACATAGGTGAAACTGGAGCTAGGAAACTGGACAGGATGGGTGGGAGGTTGGGTTTGATGGGAAAAAGAGAGCGGTGGAGGTGGAGACACCATCAAGATGCATGGTACAACTAAGTCTAGATGACGAAAGATAACCAAAGATAAAATTTAAAATAAAAAAGTAAAGCAAGTACTTTTTGAAGAAAAAACTTGAAGTCTTGAGTCTCTTCTTGGTTCTGTGGGACATCAGTAATTCATTTTGTTTCTGGAAGTTTTGATTACATTCAAAGCAATCAGCAGCGAATGCATGTAAAGTATAACAAGCCTTGCTGCTGAGGACCTGCAGAATTCCCTTCCTGTGGTGTTGAGAAGATGAAGACCGTGTTTGGCATGGTGTTGTGCTCATGTGAGCCATGAGGAGGGTGTTTGGAACCCCTTAGGTTGTTTTCTCAAGTCTTTTCAGAGGGCATAGAAAATAAGACAGAGATGGAGAATTTATAGTTGAGGTACTTCTGCTTTTTCTAAATAAAATACAAGGGAAATTTGAAGTTTTAACTTCGTACTTGAAGCGTTTCAAGTTTCCTAGTAATATGTAGATTCCTCTACCTCCATTGTTGGATAATTTCTTCTTCTCTTCACATCCTCCTTAATTGTACAGTTAAAATCTCAACTTACTGAACTAAAAATACCTTTTCATCTTTTAACTGATACCTTCCTCATTGTATTTGTGAAATCAGTTGGGCAAGTTAGTTCATTCTTGTTTGCAACTGATACATGGTACATTCTAGAAGATAAAGATCAATTGGTTCCTTGGCACAGATGTTTGAATACCTACATAGCCCAGCATAAGCTTTAGTTAACCTGGGCCATTTGGCCTGTTAGCACTAAGGTGTGCAAAACTGGATATTTATTTCAACCTCTGGACATAATAATATTAATCCAAGGATACTGGTTTTCCAGTGGGCTGTGGTTTATTCTAGGAGATGGCAGTTGAGACCTGAGGACCTAGAATCCCATCCTTTCGCCCCGTAGAGTGAAAGGCAAGCCCAGCTTTCCTTTGAGGGAAAATGTTCGGAACTACTTCCTTGAGAAAGATTGTGAAGGATGATTATGATGGGCAGATCTGTTTTTCCTGAGGGGGGAAAATCCAGAACCCCGGAATAGCCTCTGGGAGCCTGGTGTAGAGCTTCTGCTTTAAGGATTAGCCTGAAGCTTGAAGCAAGTGGAAGCCCAGGACACCACACATTGTTGGGTAGAAGGAAGGCAGTGGTGGTCCTGGAGCCTGTCTCTCACACAGGTGTCTCAGCCTGTTTTCTCACTGGCTTTGTGTCTAGAAAGGCTAGACACTTCAGTGTGAGCTCAGGCTGGGCACTGCTCTTGTGGAAGCAGTGCCAGGGTCCTCCAAACACATGCCTTCCACCGCATGAAGAGCACAGGGAAGCCGCCAGAGCACAAGCAGCAAACTGAGCATTAATCTTTGTGAGACCAGAGCTGCCCTTAGATTGAATCCCTTTCTGTGCATTTCTCCAGTAAGGCCCGGGCATAATCAGTGCTTTTGGGTGCAAGTGTTAAGGGAATGCAGACTATTCTGAGAAATATGCTTTATGTATAGATTAAATTGTTTAAAAGAGAATGAACTTATTTTGGGGGAAAATTACCTTTTCTTTTAAAAATAAAAGGACTAGTTATTTTTCTCTGAGTTACTTTTGAAGAAGTAGTTTTGATCTGGTGCTGTTGGCTCATGCTTCTATTCCTCTATACTGTGGAGACAAGATCTGGGGATTAAAGTTTGAAGCCAGCCTGGGCACACTGATTTTTAAAAAAATCTCCAATTAACCAACAAAAAGCGGGATCTAGAGGCATGGCTCAAGTGGTAGAATACCAGCCATGAACAGAAATCCTCAGTGAAAACTTGGGGCCCTGAGTTCAACCTTTGGGACAATACCTAGAGCAGCTCTTGTTCTGATTTTTTTTTTTTTTTTTTGGTTGGTCGTGGGGCCTGAATTCTGGGCCTAGGTGCTGTCCCTCAGCTCTTCAGCTCAAGGCTAGTGCTCTACCACTTAAGCTACAGCGCCACTTCCGGTTTTCTGGTGATTTATTGGAGATAAGAGTTTCACAGACTTACCTGCCCGGGCTGGCTTTGAACCGTGATCCTCAGATCTCAGCCTCCTGAGTAGCTAGAATTACAGGTGTGAGCCACCGGCACCTGGCCTGATTTTTTTTTTTTGGGGGGGGTCCGGTTGTGGGGCCTGAACTCTGGGCCTGGGCGCTGTCCCTCAGCTCTTCAGCTCAAGGCTAGTGCTCTACCACTTGAGCCACAGTGCCACTTCCGGCTTTTTTCTTTTTTCTTATGTGGTGCTGAGGAATTGAACCCAGGGCCTCATGCATGCAAGGCAAGCGCTCTACCACTGAGCCACCTTCCCAGCCCCCTGATTTTTTTTAAACCAGTCCTGGGGCTTGAACTCAGGGCTTGGGCACTGTCCCTGAGCTTCTTTTGCTACAGTGCCACTTCTGGCCTTTTCTGTTCATGTGGTACTGAGGAATCGAACGGGGGCTTCATGTGTGCTAGGCAAGCACTCTACCACTAAGTCACATTCCCTGCCTGAATTTTTTTAATGACTTTTTTTTTTTTGTTTTTGTTTTTTTTTGAGATTACATGCTTATTTATTTCCATTAGAAAAATATTGCTCATATAAAATTTTGGTCCACTTCCTTCTCCTTTACCTGTACTATTCAAGTTTGAGTACTTTAATTTTACTCACATCATTTTATTAAGTGAATAATATATTTTCCTTTATTTTAGTTATTTGAACTACGTAATTAATGTCTCTGTACACGTGTAATTAGCCATATAAGTATACAAAAGTGTAATTTATAGCATCAGTAACTTCAACATTTTCATTATCTAATCTTTCCTATGTATGGAATTTCCACAATAACCATCCATTTGTAAAAATTAATGTTAAAGATAGGATGAAAACCCCCGAGTAAAGCACACTGAAGCCACTTATAACGAAGCTGTAGTGAGAGGCCCTTGGATAGCTATAGCTTCAATTTCAACATGGGCTCCTATGGGTAAGGCAGCAACCTGGTAAGCAGATCGAGCTGGAAAATCACTCTTGAAAAATTGTTTGTAGACTTCATTGACAGTACCAAAGTCATTCATGTCAGTCAGAAAGACAGTTGCTTTTACCACATTGGTGAAGTCACAGCCTGCTGCTTTCAAAATTTCAATCATGTTTGTAAGAGCTTGTTTTGTTTCTTCCACCACCCCTTCTGGCACAGGCTTTCCACTTGAAGGGTCCAGGCCTACCTGCCCTGAAACGTACACAGTCCGGTCGACTAACACAGCTTGACTGTAGGGACCAATGGGCCTGGGGCTTTTCGTGGTGCTGATCACCTTTTGGATTAGAGACGACATGGCTAACCCTTCACTTGTGGCCAGTCGGGGAGAAGCCTGAGCTAGAGCGACCCGCTATCCTCACCATGACTTTTTTTTTTTTTTTTTTTAATGATATAGTGTTGATATTTTAAAGTCTGCTTTGGTATTGTTTGTAAGATTGTAATGAACATATGGATCAGTTGCGTCCTCTGTCTCAATGATATTTTGCACAAGAAAAACTCCCAACACCTAGGGAACAAAATTCAGCTAATTTCTTCCTGATTTCATCACTAGAAAAAAGTTGTCTTGTGTATTCTAGAACTTTTAGAAAGTTCTTGTAATGAGCAAAGGAAACAATGCTTGTATGAGTTGAATTTGTGTGGAGGTGGTTAACTATTTTGTTACCAGATTTATCTCACTTTTTTAAATAGCAATTTTGCATTAAATTTAGAGTACTGAGTCATAAAAGCCTAATGTAATTTTTACTTTTGCCTTTGTGATGCGACTTTGGATGACTGGAATGTTGAAGAGTGACAAAAGAATTAATGGTCACGATTCAGGGGTTGCTTTTGCTTTGAATGTAATAGGATTTTTAGGGAAGCAAGTGAGTCATTCTTCTGATAGGCAAGCTGTATGTTGGGATCTAGTTTCTTAGTTGAATTTCTGTAATAAGAACTGTATGTAAAGTCTTTGATATGCTGAACTTTGCATTATATAAAGTCTTGACATTGACATCTGCCCATGTCTAACTTTTCCCAGACTCTGTGATCCTGTAAGACAGTGAAGGCTAAGAGATCCCTTACCTTGCCCATTAAGGTGGTTCATTCCTGTAATACAGAACTTGGGAGGGTTGGGTTTGATGTCAGCCTGGCTTATATACTAAGAGACTGTCTCAAAACAAAAAACAAAAAGAAAAAAAAAAAAACTCCAACCTTCTACCTTTTTTGCTTCCTACAGAGAACCCCATTTGCCATCTTTGCCAGCTTAAAGAGACCTTGAGGATGATCTGTTTACCAGGCCTCACAGAAGCTGCACGTGGTCCATGCTATCTGACTTATGAATGATGAGCTGCACTGCTTGCTCCCACTGCACAATCACAGCAGAATGCTGGGCAGCTAGACCTCATTTCATCCTCCATTTGGTTGGCCACATTGTCACCTTGTCACTTGCTTCTAAAGTTATTTCCTCCTCTTTGTAATAGAAAAATCTTTGTGTAACCATTGAGATGCTTCAGGGTTATGGTCAAGGAAATACTTTCCCTCTTACTTTGTAATAATCCTTTCTCATAAAGTGTTCTTAGCAAGTTTCAATTTGTTCTTTTACTTAACACATTGCTTCATGCAGAGAACAGCTAGACTGCGTGTGCACCTAGGCTGTGATTGATGGTGGACGGAACCTCCAAGCCATGGGTGGCTGAGAGGGCAGTTTTAGATCCCCAGCTTTAGGTGGAATGGAAATGGAGGGAACCTATCTACATTTTCCATCTGGAGTCATAAATGGTTGCAGTTCTAAAAGTCGTAGTTTCTGTGTAGGATTACAGAAAGAAAAACATATCTAGTTTTCTGAAACGCATGTTTAACATCTAAATTGGGAATGACGGTTTTTGAAGCATGGGTGTATTTTGAAACTATTGAGTGTAAACCTCATTGTACCTTTATTTTACTTTTGCCAGATTATCTAGAGAGTTACCGAGTCTTTGGAGTCGTAATAACAGTAGTTCAGACTTGAATGACTTCTATGAAGCAAATGAAGTGCTATAATAGAAATCCTATGTAGCTGGCTAAAGTAGGTGATTGCTGAAAGCCAGACTTCTGGTCTCCTTTTCTTTTAACCAAACAAGGAAGCAAAGAGTGCAGTCTAAAGTGGCAGATTTATTCCAGTATACCAGAACGTTTCAGGAGTGAATAGCCTGCCAGTGGGGCATATTTTCTCATGTTAATATGTAACGTGCCATAAATTCTGACGAGGCTGGTTACTGGTATGCAGTACATCACACAGCAAAGTCACACCTGGCCCAGAGCCCTGAACACGTTAGTTCAGTCTGATCAACCCAGCTTTATTTTCGAAAGGGCTTTGATCAGGTGTCCAAAGACCTGGATTCTTTTGCCATTGAGATTCCTTTAACAGATAAAAATGTTCCTACTTCATACTAACCACAGTGTTTGCCTTATAGGATGGTTGTAAGATAACATTAAAGGTTGTTTGGGAAGTCACTTTGGAGGTATAAAGAGCTGCTGGAGTTTTGAAGAACATTTACACCGTTGTAACTGTCCTGTTTCTCAACAGTCGCCTCCAATTTCTTGTTTCCGGGCTTCAGGCTCTTCCTTCATTAGCAGTACTTGCCCTGAGCTGTGGAGAGGAATGATGATTCTTCCAGACAGTCTTGTCATTTGTTCATCTCATCTAATGTTCATGTACGAGTTTCAAACAGAGCTGCTGTGATGATTGTGCAGTCACAGAAGTCTGCAGCCCATCTGGAGTACCCCTGGCGGTGTGCAAATACTGCTGTTAAGCAACCAAAAATACCAGTCAACAGTGTGACCAACACCATGAAGTTGGTATCATTTGCCCAGGTTTTCAGTGTGGAAGTAGACCTTGATGGGTGGCTGGCATTCAGTTCATTCTGTCAGGTGTGGTCTGGGCTTTGTCCAGGCACGGGCCCAGCTCATTTCCTACTTTCAGTTGACAAGTCCTTGATTCAGGTTTGTCCTCTTTGCTATTGTATAAACAAAGAAGAGACTCCCTATACTTATCATCACTAGTGTGTGTGTGTGTATGTATGTGCGTATACACACACCTCTAGGTAATCATTGTCTGTGTGTGTGTGCACCTCCTTATCCTCATCATCTCTGTGTATGTACCTCTGCATAACCATTGCCGGTATGTGTATACCTCCACATGCTCATCTTGTACTACTTTTACATCTTAAAACCAGTACTGACAGATTTAAGGATATGCGACTTGACAGGAACTTCATAAATTTATCTCCTGAGGAGAACTCTATAGAGGTTAGAATGCTCATAGTAATAAAAGGCATTCATTTCTATTAGCACTCCACATTTGGATTTGAAAGACAGGCAAAATTTGGTAAGCTCTTCGACCTAATTTTGAGAGCTACACATTGAATAGCGAGGCAGATTTTTGTCAAGCAATGATGAAGACAGACCATAGTTAAAAATAACTATGTGGGGGGTATTTATTCCTCCCCTGTTTTGGGGGGGGGCACTGGAAGCTCCCTCAGCTCTTTTGTTCTTCCTGAGTGAAAACTACGCATATTCTGACAATCCACACTGCGGTTCCATTTTCTGTTAGAACATGTTTTCTGTGGGTTCTAAACCATAGACCAAGTATTTCTTGACCTCATTTTGTCTATTTCACACAAATGGCATTTCATGAAAACTATTGCAAATGCTGGAGGGGAATACCTATTTCATTATAAAGCACATAGGCCAATAAGAATGTAGTCTTTTCTGTGAACTTCAGCAGTGATTTTAGCCTTTTATGAAACAAAATAACCACTTATTTGTTAGATTACTCATGTGTTTAAAGGGGGAAAAACAGAACCAGATCATTCTGTATGCCCACAATGAAAATGTAAATGGTGGAATTCACTTGGTGTCCTTTTCAAGATGAGTTTAAAGTTTGGCTATTCACTAAGCTAAGTTTAGATTAATTTCTCAAAGTTTCTCACAACTTCCCTTTAATTTTTAGTTTGGATTTCATGTGAAGAATTGAATGTGTTGTTGTGAAACAGAGTTCTATGTTCATGAGCACCACGTGACATGCAAGAGGGCTGTAGTTGTGGTTTTACTTTAATTCATGTGGAACTCAGGCTCTGTGGTCCTGCGGTTGTCATGTGTCCAATGATGATCTGATTATCAGGAAGTTTCCATCCTGTCTTAAGATTTTGCCCCTTCCAGATTGACCTTTGACCTTTGTCCTTAATCACACTGCCTTCAGTCACTGACCCAGTCGTTAACAGCTGGTAGGCAGGGGCAGCCAGCAGGTCACTAATTACTTCCTTTAATTGTAAAGCTTGGGATAAGATTAGACTTTGATAGAAGTTTGGTCTTAACCTATGAAGGACTCTTTTTAGTTTCACCAATTTAAAAATTTGTAAATCGTTCAGAGATAACAGGAAGAGAGCTGCATTCAGCCGAGTGCCATTTCATGAACATCTTTAGCCTTTGTTTTTGCCAGGCAGTGTGTTGAATTGGGATGGCCTAGTGAGTCCTCAGCCCGTTGCCTGCATGGTTGACCACTGCTAGCCATTTCAGTGAGGTGGGCGTCGCTTGCCAAGATCAGAGGGCACGAGAGGGAGATGAAGTTGGTGCCACCTGAGCCAGGGTTCCTGGCTGTCTGGACTTGATTCACACACTAGGAGCACGGCCTGCTGCCTGCAGCCTGTTGTGTGAGGGACCCGTCTTTACTATGTTCTTAGGTTCTGGTTTCACATGGTTGTCACTGCCTAGTTTGCAAAGCAGACATAAGGGCCTTCATGAGTGTGTGCATGGGCCCAGGAGTGTGTTTGTGTGTGTGAGTTTTTAGGCTGTGGTGCAGAAACATCCTGATGGGCTGGGAGGGAGACTTGTGTGAAGTTTTTTCTGCTTTTACTGGAAAACCCAAATCTCCATTGGCTTTTATTTTGCCAGTGGCAGTTTAAAATAATTCCCACAAATGTACTGAAATTCAAGACAACCTCACAACCTACTCCTCATCCACCTTTAGAGATAGCATACCATAGGGTTTGGACACCTAATGAAGAGTCCTACTTTATTCTCAAAGTAGATTCTCTTTTTAAAACTGGTCCTGGTGTGAATTATCTTTTAAACTCTGTGTTCTTAATTGCTTGGGAATGAGTGACCTCATCCTGGAGGATATGTGAGAAGAAGGAGCCTCAGATGGCCAGAGTTTTGGGGGTGCGGGCGAAGAGGGTGTTCTGAGACACTGTGTTGTGTGGTACTGGAGTGTGATTTTTTTTTAAATTGTGATTTCCACAGAAAATGTGTATCATACTTACCTGGCTGGGGGAGGGGGGCATTTG